ATACACATATATATACACACATACACATACACACACACATACACACATACACATACATACACACACACACACACATACATACACACACACACACACATATATATATATACATACATACATACATACATATATATATATATACACATATATTCATATACATATGTATTATATTTATATATATACATTCATACATATACATATATTCATATACATATGTATTATATTTATATATATACATTCATACATACACATATATACACACATATGTTTCGATGACGTCATGGATGGTTCCTGTTACCTGTCTGGAGGAGGCCAGATTTCCCATCATCGATCCCAAAATAGTGCTCGATGTCGGGGAGAACACCTGGTGGAGACGACACGCTGGAGTTACTTCTTTTAACACAGCAATCATTTGTATTCAATAATCAAGTCATTTTGTGACTTTAATCCAAAAGAATATTAAAAGTTTTTTTACTCCTAAATTTACGACCTCAAAACATCACCCCCCCCCGGCTCCATTATGTATTTATTTTAGCAGCGTAGGGATTAAATCTGTAATATCTAATAATGCTCCAGTAAACGGGCGCCCGGTGTTCTCTCCTCTGATTGGCCGATGGCCACTAGGTGTGCTGGTCTACCTGCCACGGTGAAGCGGTCCATGTAGTTGAGCAGGTTGATGTAACAGAGGACGAGGACGGTCAGCAGAGATCGGACCCTCGACACGCCGCTGGGAGACTCCTCCCGCTGAGGCACCGCGCCGCCCGACTCCTCCGTCTCACTGTCGTCTGAGAAGAACGGAGCAGAGTCCGACGTGGTCTCACCCACAGACATGGCCGCCACTGAGGAGGAGCAATAGAGGAGGAGCAATAGAGAAAATTATATATACAGTATATGTTTCCAGTCTTTATGCTAAGCTAAGCTAACCAGTTTGAGAGTGCAGTACTTGAGTAAATGTACTTGCACTATTTGAAATGAAACAAAAAACTTCCCTGTCTGCAGAAGAAAAACCATGAGATCTTAGGTGAAGTGAAACCAGTCATGTGATCACATGACTGGTTTCACTAAGTCATGTGATCACATCAACATGCATCATTTCACTGATGTGCAGAAATATTTGTGACTTTAAATCGACCTCAAAAGAAAACTATTTCTTTAAACTTCGTCTGCAGTTAAAACTAGAGACGTCTCAAGTTCACCAGTTCAACAATAATAATAATAATAATAATAATTATTATTATTATTAATAAATAAAATAACAGAAGTTAACATAAAGATGTAAAATTGAGATATTATTTAGTGCTGGGCAACGATTAAAATATTTAATCGGGATTAATCTCATTGTTATGGCAAAGTTCAATAATGAATTCAAAAGTAGTGTATTGCTCTCTTTTATTTTGAAAGTGCTAAAGGTGAATAACATTGTGTGTAAACACTTTAAACACATCAGGTTGTTGTTAGCAGCAGTGTTCTCTTCACACAGCAGCAGTTCTATCTCTTCATCGCTACGATGCCGTAACTCAGAGGTGATATATATATATATATATATATATATATATATATATATATATAGACTAGAGAGACATTCAATGATTACATCATATGTTGATCTGGAGCTCAGACGTGAGACAGAAACATGATAAACAGGAGGAGGTCTGCTGGACTTTGTCTACAAACAGACTCACTGATCAGAGAGATACCAGGAAGTGATCAGATCCTCACTGATCGATACTGAGAGACTCACGCGGGGGGGGGGGGGGGGTGCACGAGGGAAAAATAAATTGTCACTCCTAAAAACAGACCAACAGCTCTCTGAGGTCATGGACGCTGCACCAGACTCTTCAGGATTCTGCCTGTTTTATGATGTTTGCTTCACAACAAACGTAACGTTAGTTTTTAACGGTTGAACTGTGATGTGGGACATTTGTAGGAGGCTTCTGGTGAACTCGGCGGTTAAGCTAAGATCATTTTGCACAAGTATTTGCAGGATTCTCCAGTTGTATGTCCTCAGCTTCACAACAACACGCATGTTGCTTTATACCAGTTTAATCTGGCATTTTAAAATAGCATGATCAATTCGGCAGATAAGTTAGATGGTTCAACGTAAACATAACTTTTGCAAATCAGCTTGCGCCACACCCACACCCACCGTCCTGACCAGAGTCCTTTAGGATAAAGACTGATGATGAAAACGACGTTAAGGTTTCTGAATAGTCTGTCGTACGAACAAGTACAAGAGGCGTGCGCAGCTGGTCCATTATGCCGTTAATAGTGCAGCTAAGCTAGCTGTTAGCATGTTCATGTTGTTGTTTACCTGGTTGGATGACCCTTCTTTCTTCTTCTTGCCGCGGCTCCAAAATATCGTCTTCGTCACACGGAACCGTGAACGTTATTTAGAACTCATGACGAGGATTACGGTAAAATAATGAATCCAAAAAAATCCCCGTAAACACCGTTTTAAAAATAAAACTAAGTACGTTTACTTCAGAGATAACAATTCTGCACCGCCGCCATGTTGGATCTGACGACTGCACTTCCGCTCTGCAGCTCACATGACCTCGTTATCAGAAAGTCACGTGACGATAATTGGGTCATCTGATTGGTGGACGATTTTCCTCGATATAAATAATAACAAATAAATACAACGAATTGGTAAATAAATCAAATAAATAAATGTAAAAATAAAATGTGAAACATGTGCAGTTAAATTAAACAAAATAAATGAATATGTAGAAAAGTAAATAAACGAATTACTAAAAAAATAAATCAAATAATAAATAAATGTATAAATAAAAAACTTTATTAAATAAATGTGCAGTTCAATTTGAAATTAAAAAAATATGCTCATGTATAAAATTAAATAAATAATAATTTATTATTAGTTCATTTTCAATTATTTATAAATTAATTCCTTTGTTTAGTACGGTTTTGAGGCATCATTTTAATTTTATACTACTTTATTCTTGAGAATATTGGACCCTCTCCTCCATTACATTATTTCACATTTCAGATTCAAATGTTCCTCCAAAACTCAGTTAATAAAATCTACACACTGTTAAAAATAAACAAATAACAACATTTAAATTAACCCTGAGACGTTACCTCAGAGTTTTCTTATGGAGAGTAACTTCTACTCATTTTATTAAATATTTCCAGTATCAGTAAAAAAAGTACGAAGCAGAGGTTATTGAAACATTAAAATAAGTTTACAATTGTACAATTATTTATGGAATCGTATATGTTTACCGTCAGTTTTAAAAAAAATGTCTCAACATATAATTCCATTATTTGTGTATTTTCATTTTACAAATAAAGTAACTACCGAGTGGATCTTCTTTATAAACATATGATGTCATGAGTTGAATCTAAATCCAAACTTCGATGATGTCGCCGTCCTCCATGTCCAGCTGAGCCGGCGTCTGTCCGCCCGTCACTTTGCAGCCGTCGAAGAGGAAGCGGACCTTCGTCTGTTCAACAGAGGACATCCGGGACAAATACTGAGAGAAGATGGAGACAAGGGGAGAGTCCTGGAGACACACACACACACACACACACACACACACACACACACACACACACACACACACACACACACACACACAGGTTATTAGGTCACAGGTTCGAGTCCCGCTGCTAAAGAACAAACAGTGAGGTGATGAAGAGTAACAGAGAGGAGCTACTCACTCTGTGCAGAGAGAACTCCTGAGAGGAGTCTCTGTCTTTGCTCTGCAGCCTCACAGTGATGATGTCGCTGCTGATGATGTCACCTTCACTTTTATCCTCAACTGCCATGACGACGCACTCTAAACAACAACAGAAGAATCATGAGGTCATACATTTAGGTCACGTGACCACAATCAAACTGAGGAAGACCATGACACGCGGCTGAGAGCTGAGCAAACACTAAGTAAGAAGAAGAAGTTCCTTCAAGCTGAACTGAACAATCAGCTAATAAAGAGAAGAAGAAGAAGAAGAGCGTGTGTGAGCGTCATGTGACCCACCGATGATGTCGGCGATGCCGAGGCCGAGCTCTCCGACGGTGGCGTCCGTCTGGAGCTCCTCCTCCTCCCTCAGCAGCAGGAGGCGAGGAGGAGGAACGTCGAGGACGACGGACAGCCGGGTCACCACATCACTCAGAGGGGTCGACTACAAACAAAAACAACCTGTTAAGAAACAAACAGGTGACATCATCTCGTCCTGCTCCGTGTTTTTCTCTGCGTTCGTACCGACAGAACCGGGATCTTGTGGACGTCGGTCCGGCAGCGGATCTTCAGCGGGATCTCACGGACCGACGAGCTGTACGGAGAAACCTGACGTCCGGAGAACGGGTTCATGACGATGACGTCATCGTCGTCCTCGCCGTCCTGGACGGACTTCCTGTCCTGAGGCTCAGGAGACAGGAAGGAGTTCACCGCCCGGAGCTTTCTGTCGATCTCACTGAGGAACACAAAACAAACAAACACACACATACACACATGTGGGTTTATTTCTTGCTGTGTAAAAAACACTGGTAGAAAGAACACAGCTTAGAATACAGCCGAGTCGCTACAGTTGATTTCTGTGAGAAACCCTGATTGGCATTAGAAACCCAAGTGACGCAAACCACATCTGAGCAAAGAGTCCAGACTCACCTGATCTTCTTCTGGACCTGTCTGGACTGTTTCTGGACCGGACTCTGTGGAGGGGACGGGCAGCGGACGGCTGCTCTGAAATCAACGAGACAAATGTGTTCAGGTTAAATCAACATGACTTGGTTGTTATTATTACGTCACTGAACTAGAACCTGGAGAAGGTCTGGGTCCAGGTCTACTGACTCACAGTTCTGCTTTCTCCTGCCGGACTTCTGCTTCGTCCTCCTCAGAGTCGCTGAGGTTGACGACGTCGGGCGCCGGCGCTCGAGAAGAAAACCTCGTCCACAAAGTGTCGTCTGCAGCGTCGTCTGTCCAGAGACACAAAGGACCCGCCTCACAGCTTTAAAAGACACCTGATTGGTTGAACTCGGTCTGAGAGTTTCACCAACGTTTGTTTTTTACCTGAGTTTTCATTTTCAGTGAACGCAGCCGATATCATCGGCTTCCACTGCAGACTGCTGCTCACCTGAGAACAAACCAGCTGGTTTAGACTTCAGATATAAATATCTTGAGATATTAAAACTTCACGGTGACTGATCTGGAGTCAGCCGTGACTGATCGCCGGATGTTCACCTTGTTGGAGTAAACGGGCACCGAGACGACGGCGTTTGGGTCGAGGATGCGTCTGCGTTTGGGTCGAGGCTTCACCTCCTGCTCACCATCTGACAGCTGGAGGACAGAGGAGGTGTTCAGGTGCTCCCTATGTAACTGGGTTAGCAATAAGGAGGGTTAGACGACTTCTCACTGCAAACTTATTAGTGTAGTAACTGTTGTTCTCCTTCAAAATGTCTCAAAAGATCTGTATATATATACATATATACATATATATACATGTATATATATATACA